AAAATTTTGGTATATTTAAATATTATACAAATAAAGAATAAAATAAAAGTTTTAATCTAGTTTTAGTTAGTTTAGTTAACTTAATAAATGTTAATATAAGTTTTAATTTTAAAAAATAATATTATACTATACATATTTATTTTATCAATTTTTTTTAATAAATAAATATCTAGTTATATATTATAAATTGTATAAATTTTGTTTAATTTTAATGATGCTGCTGTATCACAGTTACACAATTTTTAATTCTGTTTTTTTTTTGCAACATACTGTATTTAGATTTTGAAAGGTATACCTATAAATATATAAATTACAGTCAATTTTCTAAAATAAGTCCTTCGAAGATTATTAGTAAAAAATGGCATCAAACGTTCAACTTACAAATGTATTTAGCGCTTTAACCAAATTTTATAATAAAATTTTATAGTTCGGTTTTACGCAACGTTTACTAAACGTTTGGTTAATCCAGCTTCGGTTTAAAAGAGTTGATGGTATAATTATGTAAACTAATTTTGCTCCTGTCTTTCTAGTTAGTTAATTATAACTGATCTGAATAATTGATAAAAACTTTTTTTCACATTATCATGACATTGTTGAACCACAGCTGTACTGTAATTGTTGACTAAACAAATAGAAACCTTATGCACGGAGCACATCGCATATAAATGAAAAGGATCTATTTATGACCACAATGAAAAAAATTACAAAACTGCCCAAGATATGCATGAGAACAGCGATTTTCCTGTTGATCTGCCAAGTGGTAAATTCAGGAAAAACGAACTTATTAAAAGGTCGAAGATAAAGGGCTCATGATAAATTTTATTGACATAAAGCAACAGTTATATATATATCAGCCCAATGATTCACCACATATATAACAGAGCCGGAATGTAGTATTTTTATTTTGGCAAGGCCAAGTAGGTTTCGCCAGGCATATGGTTGTAGCATTAGTATAAATTATATAAAAATGGAATATAAAGAGGCTTTGCATAATGAACAAATTCAATATGCGGGATTTACATACAGTAAGTAGGTATCTGGTATGTAGTAGGTAGATACGTACGTATATAATACGTAATTTGGCATATCAATTTAGGCCAAGGCTTGGTTTCTTGTTGCGTAACTTCTATTTGACCAATCAACAAATGTACAATAAACGCGTTACTTGATAATCTGATGATTGCTGAGCAATTGATGATTCAATAAATAAGCGTCCGTTAAAAGATGGACGCGTTATTCACTTGTGGCTACATTTTTAATTACGGTTCTTATCATTACAATCGATACTTGTAAATATTTTACATGAGGACTTTTTTACAATCAACACTTTGCTATTTCATTGTACAATGAAATCGAATACATTGGATAAAGCAAAATCACCGGCTGTGAATACTAAAAATCAGCAATTTATACAAAAAATATTGCGTCGCAAACATAAATGTCTGATGATGATGATGATGACAAATCATAACTACACGGCGAGTTATGGCCTTGTAGGATATATGGCGTATTATTTTGTATATATTTATTATTTATTTGATTATCTAAAAGAAGACAAACTATTGGAATTCATCATTCTCTATCAAAAAAGGCGCATTGTTTCATGAAACACGGCCACAAAATGTCTCAAGTTCCAGATCCGAATGTCGTAAGATATTTTTATCAATGTCATTTTTAAATACTATCTTTGAAAATTTTCAGGTTGAATTCGGAAAATTGGCGTAACAGAAGCTTGAATTAAACAAGGTTCTTAAAACATTAGACTAAAAAAAGGTTATATCAGGAATAGTATTAAAATAGTAAATTTGAATTGAGCGCATTGAACTGCACACGCCCTATGCTCTCCACAAGCAATGCCGCCTTAATCACGTTATGCCCTGTTCAATACGGAAACGATGCGCAGAAATCCAGTTTCTTAGAAAATTATGCATAAAAAGGGTCGAAGGATGTCCCAGTTTTTAATCAAAAGATTTTCCCAACATATATGCAGTGACCAAATTTTTAGGACAAACCGATTTTGTCGGATTCTTATCGTCATTTCCTTTATTTACCAAGTTCCATCGTTATCTTAACAAGTTAAAACTTTCTTGGAATACGAATTAATTATACCCGTTTACCACCTGATCTTTAATAATAGATAATAAAAAAAAAAAAATACATTGAAACAAACCAAGCCACGTTATTACACTGCAATTGAAAGTACTTTGATCGAGGACTGCCACTGAATAAGAATTGTCACAACAAAGAAACTTCTTTTATGGCTCTGGTGAACATTCAGCACTGCCATTTCGTACGAATAGTCATGCTATGCACAATTACAAAAAAAGAACGAAAGGTGTGGCTGTTAAATCTACGAATCTTGTACAAATTCTCCCACGCGCGACTTTTCCGAGAACAAGATTCTCACCGGATTTCACGCATAAATAAAGATCGTCAATGTCACGACGCTACTGCAAGTCAAGGGCAAAGCCACGTGTTGACGACTCAATAATCACGCCTTATCAGCAAGGTTTTATCTCCGAAATTCCTTGTTGAACGTTTTTGGTTACCGCAAAACTTTTCATCTCGTATTTTTTTTATTGTTATTTTGTATGTTCATATCACACCTTTTTACTATTTATTACTCTTATTTATTACTTTTATTACATACTCTTTTTTATTATACTGTACAACCTTTTTATAATTTGCACGCGCATTTGATGATTGATTTCATGTTATTGGACGTGTAACAATTGTGTCAAAAATACACAAACTGATGTAACCAAATCAGAGGTAAATCAAAAATTTGACGATTTTTTTTTAAAGTATAAATAGTTGATCTGCACTATTTTATGCCCCCTATTTCATTTTCATTCAGTTTCTTTACAATTTAGCGACGCGAAACCTTTTAGCGCGGTCTACTGTTGATAAGCAACTTTGAACAATAGTATGTTTTTTTTTATTTTTTTGAATCTTTTTGCGCGGTTTTATTTTGGATGCTAATATAACTATTTTTTTTTTTTTATACTCAGGGTATAACGATATAAGAAGTTAACGCTCATGATTATGCCACCATCAAAGAGAAAAACATTAATGGACGCTATAATTTCTCAAAAATGTCAAAATAAAGAAAATTCTTCAATAATTTCGCCTACCGTTACCATTTCATCACCTCCTTCTACTGATCCAATATCTGCCGCCTCGTCAAACGCGAGATCATGTGATGATTCGAGTGAGCCGCAGCAGATATCAGAGATTGCTATGTATAAACGTTCGGATCTACCACCCCCTGAAGGAATAACTCAAGAACAGTATCATGAACTTTTGAATAACCGTGGTTGTCAATTTTGTAATAAATCACGGATCAGAAAGATTTATTGGGTATTTCGGATTCGTTGTTGTGGACTTTGTTTTAAAGCAAAGACAACGAGGTTCGTTTTTATTTACATAAATTTTAACTTTACATTAATTTATATTTACGATCATTGATATCCTAATGTCGGTCGATTGTGTAGAGGTGATTCCATTGCTTCTAGTGTTTCTTCTGAATTGATTTGTGCGTTACCATTTCATCAAGAAAAAGGTGTTAAATTTTATTGGTCATCTATGGTGGATACTTATGTTAAAGAATATGAGTCAATTCCAGTTGAAAATCGGTCTGATTGGTTAAAACAAAAATATGAATTGGTTCGTTTAATTATGGCTGATGTTGAGATTCGCGCGCAGGCTGACTCTGAAGAACGTAAAGCAATGGTTGAAATAAGGGATCAAAATAGTACTCTACGTAAAGAGGCAATTGCACAATATCTTAAGGAATTACTGGATGAAAAGGCTGATGATGGAACTTCAAAGTACTTGGAAAAATACATTTTTGAATGCCCATCATATCAAAATGCCATTCAGCAAAGAACTCCATTCACGGAGAAAAAATGGACATTACTTAAAGGAAAACTTTTAAATGAATATCAAACAGTTTCGGCAAGATATAAAGGAGAAAATATGGATTCTATTTCATCTGATTCAGAAATAAATTCACCGGATACATCAGGTATCCAATTATCTCAAACGATCGATCATAAATCTAATGAGGTGGTTGATTTTAAAAACGTGATATTACCTGAAACAAATGATGATCAATATTTGATCTCGCAAATTCCTGACCAACCTATTGATAAGTCATGCAGTGCTAACATAAGCAAATTTTCTCCGTCAATCACAATTGATCAAAAGACGGAAGACATATGCATAGAAGAACAATTTTTATCAGCATGTGATAATCAAAATACGGATAACGTGTGCATTGAAGCACAGCAATCATTGTTGGACCAATATATTGAAGGAGACACCCAACAACCTACGTCAGAGATAGATACTGAAAATACTTGTACTGACATTTTAATTGATGACGATGATTCCGATTTGATGTGTCAAGATATTGAGGCTGGATCAAATGAACATTTTAAATGGAGAATGATTCCTTTTTCTCCTGAGACAATGAGTATGATCGAGGCCACAAGAGAATCTTGGAAAAAACAAGGTACATTTGAACAAGGTCAACCACTAATGTTTGAACCCAAAGATTGTGTGTCTAGTCAAATATATGGTCAAACGAATATGTCAGCAGAGCAATCATTTTGGTTAAATGACTTGTACGCACCTGATCATTACAATAGAATCGAGAACTTAACACCAGATCAGATGATGTGGCCATCAGAAAATACATCACCGATTAAGTATGGTGTCTCTGATGAATTTCCTTTTACAATTAATCAGAACAATTGTATACAACAAAAACAAAGTAATCAACAACCAACCGCTCCAACAACTCCTGTTTCATGGTCAATTATGAATTCAATCACGGATGCTTCCATACAACAGCCAACGTCGCTGTCTTGGAATAGACAAGAGGTTCCATCCTTTGACATATTCCGATCAGGTAATGTTACTTGCCCCGCGCTTTGGCAAAAGTGGATCGAAGAACAATTGCAACAAGTACATGCTTCTGAGTACTTTACCCCTGATCGAATTCAACAAATCCAACTTTTAAGCCAACAAATGTACATTATCGAGAAGATTAGAGCTTTACTACCACGTCATACACCGCTATTGTTGGAACAAGGAATAACAACTTTACCAACTATAGCGTCCAACATTACTTTTTCTTCCGGTTCACAGTATGTGAGAAATCCTATACACAATAATGAATATTCACAAACAAGATCCGTAATAAATCTTTTAAAGTTCCTACGCTGGTGTCCATCATTTTCTGATCCGCCAGTTCAATACAATTATCCATATCAACCATGGGATGAAAGGTTCGTTGATGAAGTGTTAATACCAATATTGTCAACCGAAGCGGTTGTGTTTTTACGAAATCCCGCCCATACAATAAAAGGTGCAGTATTAAGAGGACTTGCGAATACGGGATTATTTAGATGTAAATACTGTTGGTTTTGGGCTAGAATACCTTCTTATAGTTATGAATATGTAAGAAAACATCTGATGGAATTTCATAAGAGCGAACCATTAGATGAGCTGATGGAAATATTAGTAGAATATTTACCTAATAATC